ATCTCAATATTATTACGATCTACCTCATATTTAAAAAAAATCGTCAATTTACAATGCTCAGATCAGAAGATATCGATATTTTTTCCGACCCAGTCCGTTTTGAGCACTCGCTCGAAAACGCGTCGACGGCACTGCGAGGAAGAGGGCGTGGCCGAAATCAGCGGCACGCTTATGTCAGGGCCGCCGCTGTACTTTGCGCAAAAATACTATTTTTTGATACAATTGTAGGATACTTAAAAAAAACTTATGGATACGAAAATTTAGCCAGTGTTAGATTAACAACTAATTAAGAGAAGGCATTTTGATAAATGGCTCTATCTGGTCGAACAACTCTTTTAGAGCCGTTTTGCGGAAGTACCTTTTTTTAGTTTATTTGACGGTTTGCAAAAAGTAAAATTGGCACAATTTGTTAATGTGCGGAAAAATGGCTAGGCCAATTTAAGCTAAACAGGGCTTATTTTGGTCGTCTTGTAATTGTGCATCTTTTTTATGTAGACCCTTTTTTTATCCTAATTACGGCTTTTCCAGTAAAAGCAAAGTACCTATTTTGGCCATTTTTACGGTTTTTTTTTTTAGACCCATTGCTAACATTTTTTAGACACATTGCTGCATTTGCTAACATTTTTTTTGGTCCTCATGTAGTTGCATTTGTTGTCGAGCTTGAGATCTATATAAAAAAAATTCCAGCCCCCCAAGCACGTGACATAAAAAACTTCGTTCTAAAAATTTTTGTGGCCCAGTCTGGATTTCTCAGCCAAAAATCTGTTTGTTCCATGTGCAAATCTGAAGAGAATAGTAGCGTGGTCGCCGAGGCTTCATCTGCTGTTTCTAACTTACCTCATCGCGCTCCCGCGTGACTTGATTGAATAATGGAATAGAAAAATATTTATAAATGTAAATCAAATCGAATAATAAATAAATTAAAGGACACGAAGTTCGTCTGACATAACAAGTTTTTTCGAAAATTTTTATGAGTACCGTCAGTTTGCATAATAATTACCAATCTTACACAATAATGGTTGTATTGAAGCTCAAGATAGAAAGAAATATTCTGTATTCTCCAGTTTTAGCAGGTTTTCTCTCTCTTTTTTTTTTCTATTTTAATTAGGTTAGCTAATTGATGATTTTTTGTATCTTTCCTTTAATTTTTCTTCGATAATAGTGCGAGAGCCGACCAATTAATCGCTTAGTTCATAGAAGCCCGCTTCAAACTTTGCAAACAGGATCCGCACTTGTCAAGACAATGGGCCCGGGCGATCCCATGAGCCGCGTGCACGTAATTGTAGGATTAGTTATGCCTTTTAAAGGATAAATTGGTTGCTCAACAAGAGGCTTGCAATGAACAGGGTTTCATGCTTCAAAAAAATGAAAAAATTTAGTGTTTTGCAGGCTTTTGTCGAGCGAATATTGAGCAATTTTTTTTTTTTATTCGTCATCCTTAGGACACTAAAAATAATATAAAATGAAACATGCAGAAGAGAGTAAATAATTCATGTTTTAAACACATAAAATTTTGCGTAGCACACATGTGACGAAATGCGACAGAACTATCTTGCGTCAACTTAAATTATGAGGAATTAAGATTGGCTTTTGACCGACGATAAAATCGAGCCACTATGATATGGTTCGTCCATTCCTGCATGCGTAGCAGATGTTCTGCAAGACAGCACTGATAACGACGTTGACGACGATGATACTGACGACATGGTTTTTGAAGATGATGTTGACCTGCAAACTGCAACCATCATCGAAATTTACGAACTAAATTTGTAAGCGCGCAGTGGCTCAGTCGGCTAAGTCGTAGATTGGCACGCGGCAGACAGCGGTTTGATTCCCGGCCACTGCGAATTTTTCGGGCAAGTACCTATGATTTCCAAATATGCTTTATCACCACGCAATGTTCCTCGTGAACGAGATAGACGACCTCGAGAAAAATTGCCTATTTTCTCCCTACCCCCATCCTAGTAATGAGAGGCCACCCAACCCTTTCCTTGTTCCCTTCCAAAGTATAGAATGCAGTAAATAGTGGACCCTTGTGGTTCCTGAACGTATGTCACTGTAATATAAAAAAAAACTATTTAAATCAAACTGTACATTAAAAGTTTGTTTTAAATTGTTATGCGATCAAAGAATGTAAATACCTGTACGTATATGTTTGCCTGAATTATTCAGCGTTCTTCATTTCCTTGAAGTTAGTGTTAATTTTATCTGCCTACATATAATTTTAAACATGAATAATCCACTCTCCTCTGCATGCTTTATTTTATTTTATTTTTAGTGTCCCAAGGATGACAAAAAAGAAGAAAGCTGTTTAGTATGCGCTTGGAAAAAGCCGATAAAACGCTAGATTTTTTTATATTTACGAAGCAGGAAACCCTGCTTATTGCAAGCCTCTTGCTAGGTAACCCATTTTTCCCTCAAAAGGCATAACTAAATCTATAATTTTTCGCAAAAATTAATCAGGCCTCGATGAACTAAGTGCGGGGCCGTTTTTTTGCATTGAAAATCGCCATGTTGTTTATTATGTGCACGCGATCCATGAGGTTGCCCGGGCCCATTGTATAGAAAAGTGTAAATCCTGTTATAATGCAAAACTTAAAGCGGGCCTCAATGAGCTAAGTGATTTTGCGGTCGGCTCCCGGACTATAAATAAAGATGCAAAAGATTAAGCATGAATTTTTGTGAAGACTTCAGAATATTTTTAATTAACAATTTTTTTTATGTTACCATAAACTTGCAGGAATAACATACTTTACGTCATCTGTAGTTTTTAGTTAAAATAACGTCCAATGGTGGTACTGTCAAATTTTGTATTTATTGAAAAACAAAACGACGTTTCGGCCGTTTGGAAAATGTCCCGGCCCTCATCAGGTACAAAAATCTATGAGTAATAAAAAATTCTTTACAATACAAATTTTGATAAATAAAATAAACGCAAATTAAGTAAAGTGTATAATATACCTCTGACTCTTACGAAGGGGATGTAAAATCGTAATGTAGTCAGTGTTTCAAGTTTTGTTGCTTTTGTACCCTGCACATATGCAAATGACAATATACGCACACAATACAATCAAATAAGAATTGCAAGCAGTTCCTTGTGATACATACGTAAACAGATCATGTTTTCCTAATACTATAAATGAAAGGGGCCCTTAAATCATGTACATAGAGTTAGCCTCCTTTCTTAATTACTTAACGAGAGACTTGTAACAATTTTTTAAATTTTCTGTATCTTGTTGTCTATTAATATTATTATTGAAATAATGTATATATAACATTTCGGAAAACAGGCGCTTTTTATAATGTTGTTCTGTGTCTAAAATTTTTATTTTAACGAAATTGAAGTTGTGTGTAAATTCAATGCTATGTTGTGATAGTACAGATGTATCCTTTTGTAAATTATCGTTATAAAATTGATTTAAAATTAATCAATAAATTTTTACTAGCTAACAACTATCCTTAAAGATTTATTGATAAATTTTTAAACAAAACAATAAATACCTTAAAAACATGAACATGATTGACATTTGCAATAGAAACAATAATAATTATAAAGTAATCTTATAATTACCGTATATTCTTCACTTGCACAGTCCTATCTAATATTTTTGTAAGAAGCTTCACATTGGTCTTCTATACAGTTTAAACAATAAATTGAATTCCATCTTTTCACTTGGAAAAGATGTAACCGAGTCACTCGATAAAAATAATGTCGTTTACCACATACCATGTGCGAATTGCAACTGCTGTTATGTCGGTCAAACATCGAGAGCTTTAAAATTAAGAATGGCAGAACATAAAAGAGACATAGAGACAAAAAAGGATACATCTGTACTATCACAACATAGCATTGAATTTACACACAACTTTAATTTCGATTAAATAAAAATTTTAGACACAGAACAAAATTATAAAATGCGCCTGTTTTCCGAAATGTTAAATATACATTATTTCAATAATAATTTTAATAGACAATAAGATACAGAAAAATTGAAAAATTGTTACAAGTCTCTCGTTATGTCAATTAATAAAGGAGGCTAACTTGATATACATAATTTAAAGGCCCCTTTCATTTATGGTATTAGGAAAACATGATCTGTTTACGTGTGTCTCTCAAGAAACTGCTTGTGACTCTTATTTGATTGTTATATGTGCGTATACTGTGTTATTTGTGTATGTGCAGGGTATAAAAGCAACGAAACTTGAAACTTGATTTTCCATCCCCTTCGTTAGAGTCAGAGGAATATAATACACTTTACTTGATTTGGGTTTATTGTATTTACCATAATTTCTAATGTAAATAATTTTTTTTTATTACTCATAGATTTTTGTACCTGATAAGGGCTGNAAAGCAACAAAACTTGAAACACTGACTACATTACGATTTTACATCCCCTTCGTAAGAGTCAGAGGTATATTATACACTTTACTTAATTTGCGTTTATTGTATTTATTAAAATTTGTATTGTAAAGAATCTTTTATTACTCATAGATTTTTGTACCTGATGAGGGCCGGGACATTATCCAAATGGCCGAAACGTCGTTTTGTTTTTCAATAAATACAAAATTTGGCAGTACCACCATTGGACGTTATTTTAATTATCAACCAACTGTAATTGGACGTCTTATATTATTGTAGTTTTTAGTATTACATCACACGTTTGAATATAAAAAGAGCCAAATTAATAATACAGAAGCTTTAAAATTTGAAGTATTTATCGCTAATTTATTATACCAAATGTATAGTCGCAATGTTGAGCTGCTTTAGACAATCAGAAATTTTACCATAATAAAAAAAAAAAATTTGGATATGTAAAATAGTTATTTTAAGTATTTTTAATAACTGGATTTCCGTTACATGGTTTAAATGCTTATTGCTATAATTCTGTATAAAATTTCATTTAGAGCTTAAATACTTTCAAACGGTTAAAATACGCAGATACTTTTACATTATGTAGTATGTCCTTTGTGCATTCAAATTATAATTTTCATTTTTATAGGTAAATCTGTTTCTCAACCTGATGTTATTATGACGTACTCAGTACAGACAAGGCTAATAGATGAACACACAGTAGAATTTGATCAACTTGGTAAAATGAGAAGTATCCTTTATATAAGATCGCATTTACGCTTAATTCAAGCTATTCAATACGTTCCTCATTCACCACTACGAGATTCGGTATTAGATGTTAATATTGATGGATTTCAAATGAAGTCTGTAACAAACGATGAAGTAATGCAGTACAAGCTTATCACCAAAGTACGTTGCAACAACTAAACTTTTCTCGTGTAAATTATTGTAATATAATGTAAATAATTTAAAAATTTGTCTTCAGGATAAACTTAATGAGAAACAGCTCGAAGCTATCATCAAATTTACGAACGCATCTGTTAATTTTGAACCGAAAATTGGTCTTCTTGTTGGACCGCCAGGTAAGAAAGTATTACGTTCCATGCTCACATTATTCTCTCTATTAGTAGAATCATGTACATGATAATTTAATGTATTTATACTGAACTGTTAAAATAACTTTAGGTACTGGAAAATCAAAAGTGATTGCAAACTTAGTCATGGAAATGTTATATGGAAATGGCAGATATGTAAACGGACAGAATATGAGAATTTTAGTTTGTGCACCATCTAATGCAGCAATTGATGAAATTGTTTTGAGACTCCTTGATATTCGAGCAGCTATCAAAGGTTTGTATTGCAGAAAATATGTCAGCTAATAAGTTGTGGTCACCATAATAGTATAAAAAAATTTTAGAGCATAGATTTAAAATGGTTCGAATCGGACGAATAGAATCAATGCATGAAGATGTAAAAAAAATTTCATTGGTAGAACTCGCAAGAAACAATGCTCAAAAACAGTTGTCTGAGCAGAAGTACAAAAATACGGAAAACATTGAAGCTAAGGTATTTTTTAATATAACAGTATAAACTTAAATAACTATTAAGTGTTTGATTAACGTAAGATAAAAAATAAGAGTTTTCTATAAATATTTAGTGATGTAATTAATATCTAAAAACATTATTTCACGTATTTCTATGAGTTAAACAGTAAAAAAAATTGCAGTATTTTTAAAACTATTTTATTGCCTACTTTGACCTAAAGTAATATACGGTAATAAAGCGTGGTTAAAGGAGTATATCATGGTATATGTGTGCTTCAATGCAGCACAACTCATCAGACAATCTGCTGAAACAAGTAGCCACCCATATTGGATTTTAGCCAATAAGCGCTTCAAAATACTTTTTTGTTAAACCAGAGAGTGTAAAAAAAACGGTCGTGCTAATAAGCTGGAGCACAATTCTTCTATGCCTGTTAAGCTTAATCTTTTCTGTGCAGCTTCCTTATTGTTGTATATTTATACCTCGAGAAGTAGTTTACGTATGTATAAAGTGTATTCAAAAAGTAAGGTGACTCAAAATTCCGTGGGCTACGTGCGTTCAAATTTCAATTGACTTTTTTTGTTATTCTGTAGATACACTCGTCACAACCATATGTTTACACTTTCAGCTAGGATTAAATGACTCAATTATGGCATACTAAACTATAATTACATGTCTAAAACATAATTAATTTGTCAAAACGTTCTAACGCAAGGTTTACTCTGTGATATTCAAGTTAAATTAATGAATTTGATTCTAAAGTGTACCTTACAAGTGATAGTTAAAAGTTAATACGACAAAGGCAAAAAAAAAAAATGAAATTGATTAAATTAAATAAAAGATCCAAAAAATTCAGAAAGATAAAAAAATTAAAAAATATAAAAAATAAATACCAAGTGTCCCGTACGACATGCATAACGTATCCGACATGGTCACACTACCAAAGCCACTAACCGATATGGAAATGAGTAATCTCGAGGGTTGGAGAAGGAAGGAGGCCCCGCGGAGTGCCACTCTCCCCTTAGTTAACTTAATAAAGATCTTGATCATTATTCTCCGTGTCCCTTTCTTATCCTTAATAATAATTATTATTGGCCTATAGAGTACTATTATTTATACCTATAAAATCTATTATGGATACTCATCGACGAAACACCTAATGACATGATAGACGACAGCGTTGAACCAACCCCTTTAAGTGCCAGAAACGAGCAAGTGTCAGAAATACTGACAGTATTTTTGGAGCATAGCCTGGAAAATCAAGTAGAGTGGAATAAGATGAGTAAAAAGCAGCGCATCCTGATAATGAAGCTTATCAAAAAAATGAAGTCCGAAATAGTTTAAAAAATCAGGTGTGGGTCTCGTGACCCCCGGCAGAAGTGAAACTTCCAACTGAAATGTTATCAAACTTGGTATAACAGAAACCTAATTATCAGGATAAATTAAGAGAAAATTAGATTACACTTAATTTCAATAGGTCTTTAAGAATCTGATATTAAAATAGTAAAAATTTTATTATTACTACGTATTCGAGCACGCGCGTGCATAAAATACATATACTTATGTTACATGTGATTCGCGCATTCTAAGTACTTCCATGTTTGCTATGATATATGTACAAATTGTTGGTCATGTAATGCTAAACAAAACAAAAATTTTCACCATAGTGCCCCAAAAAAAGGTACTTTTGTCCAGTTACGTGGGACGAAAATTCCTTTTATTTAAAATTACTGTTCGTGTATTTGATATATCATATATGTACAATCCATTCTTGTTGGAATCATTGTATCCGACAAATTTTTTAAAATTTTGGATACTATAAAAGTAAAATCATTCACTCTATCTGATTAAGATTAAGAAAAACAATGGATACATAGCTATTTTTCATCGTAAAATTGTAATTTTTCATTCAATTCGTTTTCTATGATAATTTATAATCTAATATTAAATTTTATCCGTGGTCATAACTAATTTCTACTAATCTCAAAGTTTAAAATAAGAATATAGGTTTTGGTCACGTGACAATTATTCTTATAATACATGATAAAGAATAGAAAATAAATTAATTTATAGCTAGGATATGTAGGATGTAGCTTTGCCTTTAAGATATGACTTATTATTTTCAGAATTATTACGATTGTTTGTGTGAATCCGTTTAACATATATTTTTGCACCTTAGAAAATTATTTTCTACACGTGGAATTATTTTTGTCCTATCTGGCTTCCCTTTCGAGATACGACTGTTTTTCTAATTTTGAGAGGTTATCTTGTGACAAAAATTTTTCAAAAATTTTATAAATGTCCACAATTTTTTTTACTGGTTCTTTTCAAGATGCAGTCGAAAAAGGAAATAACTTGGGTTATGTTTGTGCATAGTCCAACCCCTTTCATATTTGTGCACCTCGATCATGTAGATAATCTATAGTGAACCGGTAAAAATCGTTATTTTTAGCCAATTTTGCTTTTCTTTCAAAATACAGCGTTTTTTCTTGTTTTCATAGGTAAGATTGTCGTATAATATATGTTTAATACTTTATACACGTTTTTTACGTACATGTATACATATAAACATGTATATAATGACCGAGACGTGCAACATGTATATATACAATATACATACTTACACTTTGCCTCTAGTAAAGATATAACTGTTTTTTTTCTTCCTTTTTCTTTTCTCCATACCTATACCTCACCTTAAGCAATTGCATCGGTTTAGTGTTTAGTCGTAGTATAGAAACATAGAAACACTAAACCGATGCGCTTGCTCAAGGTAAGGTGTAGGTATGGAGAAAAGAGTATGATATATATGTGTATATACACACACACACACATACACATATATATATATATATATATATATATATCCCTATATTACATAGTTATTTGTGTGGGGAATTTCACATATCCCCCCACAGACCCTCCACATGGACCCCCACAGCCCCCCACAAATATGCTGAAATTCGACCGTTTTCATCGCTAATTCGACATTTTCCAACTTTTTCCTTGGACCCCCAACAGCCCCCCACACAATTTTGTCTTTCCCTCCACAGGCCCCCCACACCATTTTTCTTGCATTATGTAATGTATACTTGTTAAATGATGAAATATTAATAAGTGACTTTCGATTTATTACCATAAATATTGCCGATTTATCCATAAAAATCATCAAGTAAAGTCAATAAATTATGTAAAAATCTCTTTCCAAACAATATTTTCTATTTCTGTATTTTTTTGCCTTTCTACTTAAATAAATAAATTATTTTTAT